GGGAAAATGTGACTACGAATTGAACACCACGCTACGGATTTGGGATTTCATTCCATGGGCTACAGAGTGAATCACATGCTGGCTTGTGGTGTTTGAGATGATTTGAAGTGGGTGAACTTTCAGTTGCTTTTATTTTCATAATTACATCACGTGTTTTAATGTATTCTAGACCAGTGCTTCTCAAACTGTAATGTGCAATAAATCACTCGGGTATCCCGTTAAAATGCAGAGTCTGATTCGGTCAGTCTGGGACGAGCCCAGGATTCTGCTGGTCCTGCTGATCCATGGACCACACTTTGGGGAGTGAGGTTTTAGACACCACCAGCCTTTCTGTGTCTTGCCCACCTCAGCCTCAAAGCCCTCACGCTCCTGGTCCCCAGGCACAAAGGCTTCACTCTGTCAACACACACACACAGACACACACTCACGCCCCACATTCGGTCAGTCTGGGACGAGCCCAGGATTCTGCTGGTCCTGCTGATCCATGGACCACACTTTGGGGAGTGAGGTTTTAGACACCACCAGCCTTTCTGTGTCTTGCCCATCTCAGCCTCAAAGCCCTCACGCTCCTGGTCCCCAGGCACAAAGGCTTCACTCTGTCAACACACACACACAGACACACACACACACACCCCATGACCTTCTCCCTCACTGCCGGGGTGGAAAGGGGAATGCCGCCTGTGACTGAGGGCTACTCTGCTGGATTCGAGGCTGCTGGGTTCCGTTTACTCCCCTCTGGCCAAGTGGACGCTTTCACTGTTGCCTGCATCTCCTTTCCCCAGCCCTATGTCAGTTCTTCGAGGACAGGATCTCAATCCAACTCATCAGTGTGTCCCAGAACCCAGGAAGCACCTGCTAAATATGCGATGATGGGTTGACCAGGTAAAGGAACTCACGAGGTTCATCCCAACCACTGATAAGGCAAGGGAAGGGATATGGTATTATGGTTTTTAAAACTATAACCATCTACACAATTCTAAAGACTTCTATAGCCACCAGCCTCCCTAGACATGACTTTTATAAAATTTATGTTTTGAAATTTTTACTTTCTAGATTGCTAGCTGGTCCAGTCTGTGCCGATTCCTCCAGCCAAGGGAAGCACAGCGACTGCACGTGAATAATGAATTCCACAGAATTCAAGGACTGGATGCTCTCTGCTGATTTCCATAATTTACAACCTAGGATCAGCCATCAAGGCTGCTGCTTCACGACCTAGGAGTCAAAATCCCCCTGACGAGAAGCCGCCGTAGCACAGGACTCACGCTGCTTGTCATGTCGTGCCTCAGGTCTTTAGCATGCGAGCCACAACGTGACGGCCATTTCATATTAATATACGCCTTCGGAACAGGATGGCAAATTTTTTTTTTTTTTAAGAGGAAACGATTGAATAAGCAAACATTTATAAAAATGTCTAGCGGGTTTCTGAAGCAGCTCATAGAAAATGTCTTTGCTTAGCAGTGTCTGGCTGCCGGGTCGAACTCCATCCAAAAGATGTCACAGGGATGCCTGCTGTGTGTGTCATCAGCTAGGATTCACAGCAACTACTAGGTCGCTGGGGCCTTGACTCGAAAGAACTGAATTTCGTTATTGGGACGCAGAGCGCATTGTCTCTGTTATTAGAGTCTGTGACTGCGAATGAACAATAGAATATGTAAAGACATTTTCTAACTTTACCTGGATTTGGCTGAAGATATTCTGTGGCCTTTGAAAGAATTTCTGCAACAGCTTTATTGGTGACATCTATTTTCTTAAACAAACAAACGGGAAAAAAAAAACAAACACGTGAAATGTTGGTAAATGACAAACGATGGATTCGCAGAAAAACAAAGTTGGGGATGACTGATGACCCCGGTTCTGTCCCACCTAAGCTGCCCCACCCGGCCGACCAGGACACATAATGAGGGACAAGGAATCGGCATGCTTCCTCTGGAGGCTTTACAGTCATGTCTGCCGCGGGCCTGTCACATTTTTCTAAATGCCGTCGTATACATTAATTTTTTGCTTACTTCCCACAACCTCCATGTGAGGCAAGTAGGACACATATCATCCTTGTGTCACCGTCAGAAAAGATGGCACAGCTTACTCCAGGTCACGCGGCTGGTTCCAGGGCAGAACCAGGATAAAAGTTCATTGCTGTGTAGCTGTTGCAACACAGGGTAACAGATCAAAGCCTTCCCCACAGGGACCAAAATTTGTCTATCTGAACGGTCTCATCTCAGAAATACTTTGGATTCTCGAAGATACATAACCACAAAGATGCCTTTTTAACTGAATATTGACCATCGTCGAAGCATTTTGATTTTTGTCCACTGGAGGGAACCAGTGAGTCGGATTCCCATCTCCAACATCAGGGTTATTCGTTATTTGGGCTTGGAATTGGGAAAAAAAATTGCCTTTTGAATTCCGTAAGCCACACCTGCATGCCAGCATCCTAGAGTCCTCTAACACCTTTTACAGTGTATCTGCCATCGCAACAAAAGTCAAATTTGTGATACAATGTACACTGAAATGCTCTCTTACCCTTTCCATGTCAAGAAATTCGTCATCGAGTTTTGTTCCTTCCACGCCACTGATTTTTTCACTAAATAGCTGCAGAAAAAACACACACACACAGATAATGGCCTTGTACAATGATGTCTTACCACAGTTCCTGACCCAAATTATCACAAACATATATTTAAAAAAAAAAACCCCTCAGATTCAGCTTGTTGGATTTTTGTGGACTAAGTCCTTTAAGAAAATTACTGGAAGGAGAAAGCATATCTAAGGACATGGTAAGATACACGCTCTCACTCACTCAACAGATAGTTATGATGTACCTACTATGTGTAAAGCACATGGTAGGTGTGCTAGGACAAAGATAGGATTCTTGTCGTCCGGGAACCTAAAGGTCAGCAAAGCAGTTAATACGCATTCAACTAAAGCACAAGGAGGAACAAGAAGAAAAATAGACATATACTCAGTTATTGTGAACAGACTTTCGGTGATTCCCAGACAGGATCCCAAGAGCCTGCAGTGTGAGGGACAGGCGTGGGGATCTTCCAGGACTTATTTCCTAGAAAGCTTGGCATTTGAGCTGGCTCGTTAAAGACAAGGGGCGCATTTTAGTGGGCAGCCCTGACGGAAAGGCCTTCCAGCACGAGGCAGCTCCGAAAAAGACTGAGAGGCAGCTACGTGTAAAACGGTTTCTCCATCTTGGCACTTTGCTTTTTAGACCCAATAATTCTTTGTGCTGGGGTGGGGTGGGGGGAGGTCCTGTGCACTGCAGGATCTTTAACAGCGCCCCTGACCTCAACCCGCTCGGGGTCGGAAGCATACACACCCCCGTGGTGACAACCAAAATGTCTCCGGACAGCTGAAAACCACGATGGACAGTGAATGAGCTCGGGACACAGCTAGAAGTCTCGTTTAGCGGTGATACGTCGTGCTTGGGGGGTGTGGGGGACGAGGAAAACACAAGCAGAAAGGCAGGCGGGGCTCGGATCGCACGGATTCTCAAATGCCAAGGTAAGGAGTAGGGCTGCGAAGCCTCTTGAGATGCTCCGTGAAACCCAAGGCCGGCAGACAAACCTCGCGGGAGAGCGAGCGTGGCACCAGGGCAGAAGGGAAGCAGAACATGCGTTAAGTTACTGTGAAGCGCATCGATATAATTTGTTTACACCCTTCACATGTGTACGTAGAAAACATAAAAATCAGTAGTAAAGCGGGGTGGGTACCATCGGCTAATGGTAGAAAGGATTTGCAGGTCGTTCTAAGTGTTTTCGAGCGTGTGGTTTTCTGCTACACGTTAGATTACGACCATTGTACACACAGCATGACGAATAGGAGGAATGTGTGTGCAGACAGCACGTAACGTAAACTCGAGGTGTGAGAAGGAATTACTTAAAGACAGTAGGAGAGAAGATCACAAAAATGGCCACGACCCCCCATCTTCCCTGTATCTATCTTTGTAATTCCTCCTCACTGGAGCTGGAGTCTACCGAGCCTGGGCTGGGCTTGTGACTTGTCATGACTCACGGACACAAGCCTAGGAGTTGGGTGCTTTCACTCACTCCCCCGAAACCCGCTGCCACCATGCAAACAAGCCCCAGCTCATTTGCTACGTGGTGAGAGGCCATTGGCCCCAACGCCCTCGTCAAGACAACCAGTCCATCCCGGGAATAGAGCCCCAAGCTGACCTGCAGACACACGAGAGAGCCCAGCTGAGGCCCGCCTAATCGCTGGCCCACGGAAACGAGTCAAATGCAGGCTGGTTGTTTGAGATCACTAAATGGCGGGGCGCTCTGGTACGCAACGGAAGCTAGCCGGTACACCGGACGACGGTAAAGGAATCGGAGGCATTATCCTAACACCTCGATACAAGGTAAAACCTCCGACGGACACGATGGAGCGTTTTAAACAGAGGTCTCCATAAAGTCCCCCAGGCATCTTTTTGTTCAGTAGTGAAATCATTGAAAATGTTGGTTCTCGACTTTAGGGGTAATTTCCTACGTTAAAATTATAAAATTTCGCTACAGCAATTCACGGATAGGCAATGGTTGAGACAAACACAATGTCTTTCACGTAATAACCAAACTGCAAAGCAAAAACCATTTACGCCACCAGATTAGGCATAAGGGCCAAATCTGCGGAGTAGTCCCCGCTCGTCTGTGGTTATCAGTTACCCGCGGTCGACTGCGGTCCAAAAATATTCAATGGAAAATTTCAGAAATACATCAATTGATAAGTTTTAAATGGTGCCGTCCTCCTCCGCTCCGCCCCCTAGTTACCAGACTGACAGTTGACGTATGGCAGAGCCTGTGTTCGGGTCACCCTGATTTTACTTCATAATGCCCCCGAAACTCAAGAGCAGTGATGCTGGCCATTCGGATATGCCAAAGAGAGGCCATAAAATGCTTCCTTTAAGTGAGAAGTTGTGAATGTTAAGGAAAAAAACACTATATATAGAGTTCGGCACTCTGCACAGTTTCGGGCACGCACTGGGGGTCTCGCGACATGTCCGAGAATAACAGAGACCACCGTATAAGCAAAGCTAATTATTTTTCCCCTGAAAGATATAATATCGTGGCCATCGGCTTCATTTAAAATTCACAGGCTTCCAAACAGTAAGAGGCGTTTTTCTTGCACATGAACAAAGACATTTTATTCGTATGTGAATGAAGCAAAGGTCCTTTCTGTTCTGTCTACATGAAGCCATTCTGCACTTCTATAGAAAACGAGGCGTTCTGTACCAGGCAGAGCCACGTTACAGAACTGGACGGCGTCGTCTGGTGACGACGGTACATGCATTCAGAACAAAAAGCACTTTGTGTTACCAAGTTAAGAAAAGAATGCCTAGGCCTTCCACCACGCTCCACCCTGCCTCTCCCTCCTCGCAAGGCCTCGGGTGCACACCCGTACATTACGTGTCCCCGGGAGCCTAGCACACTCCACGGGGATGGAGAACACGAGGGGGCCGGAGGGGACGAGCCAACGACGAGGGGCGTGGGACGCCACGCCGAATACGGGGAGTGCGGTTTGGGTATAATTTAAAGCAGGTTTTGCGGGAGAGGCCGGGGTGGGGAGGAATCTCTCCAGAGGGATTGCACACACCCTCATGACAATGACAGGCCAGTTTTTGCTCATTCTAGGGTTACATCTCTGAATTATTCATATTTCTGGATGATTAGGGAGGCATTACAAAAAGAGCGTGTGCTTTAAAGAACTCTGCCCTCTTTCTTTTTCCAAAAGTTTAAATCTTCTTCTTAAAAGTGTTAATACACATCTGAAATTTAACAGGAACCAACGTTTATCACACCAATAAAACTGAATTTGAATTATGAAGTCTTCGCTTAAAATTAAAATTCTTCATTATTCCCCCTGTTGAGCTGCCTATTACTCAGAAGTTCTAGTTTCCTGGATAAATCACTAGTAAGAAGGGAAACGGGAGAAAATATAAGCGAATTTAAAGCCAGAATCAGAGCCTTATGAGAATCACATACATTGAACTTATGACTATACTTAAAACGTTTAAGAGACATTTATTAACAGAATGTATAAATAGCGTTCATCGTTTCATTGGTGAAATCTGTAAACTGAGCATTGTTCAAGCGAACTTGAACAATGCTCAGTTTACATTGTTCAAGCAAACTTGAACAATGAGTACTTTTCATTTTAACTCAAATACTACTAGACTTACAAATGAATTTACAAGCTTCTTAGTACCTTGTTTTTAAAAGCTGAAGGTAGAATTGTTTTTCACACTTACGACTTTAACGAATTAAATATTGGATAGAATTCTGGTGGTGAACACAGGCCTCCCTCTCTGAGCCCTAAGGAGCAGGAAGAGACAGGGCTCCCGGCTCACAATGGCCAGGCGGGTATAAAACACTGTAAGAACCCCAGGGATGGAGCGACCAGCTTTTGGGGGGCAGTGAGAGGGAGGCGAACACAGTGGACAAGGGAGGGGGGCATCAGCAGAGAGGGGGCACGGACACGGTCCAACGGGTGACCCAACAGGGCCTGGTGTAGGACCCACGAGTGGTTCTGGATGGCCAGAGCCGGGTCAGCAGACACAGGGAGAGGAGGCGGGGGCCCGGCAGCAATGGGCAGCGGCGGAAGTTTGGCCTGAGGATCACTGAGGGGTTTTTAACAGGGCATGACATCAGCAGATGTCTCTGTTCGTCCGCTCAGAACCACACTGGCACGTCCTCCTCTTAATGACCCTGGAGCACTGCCCAGGCCGGTCACCACGACGTCTTGGACAGCCCACAAGAGCTACCAGCCACCACTCCAAGGAGAAGCCCCACGACCTGGCCCGGCCACCTTCGTGGTCCCAGCGCGTAACCGTCACATGGCTACGACTGCTCTGGGGGGAAGGGAGGCACTGGATTGAAAAGCAAAAGCAACAGAGCCAGAGGAACAGGCCGACTTCAGAGCAGGGCCATGAACTCGCCGGCTGAGCGGCCGGGCGGCCCCAAAGCAAGCTGGCGTAGAGAAAAAGCACCAAGCCTGGGGAGGGAAGGGACAAAGGACCAGGAGGACGTTCGCAGGATTCTTCACGGCTCCTGCTAACAGGAAGGGAGATTATGCGGGAAAAGTTTCAACATATCGCAAAAGTATCCAAAACAGCGTGATGAACCACCATGCGGCCAGTCCCCTTCCTGGTACCTCCTCGCTAGCGTCGATTATTTCAGAGTGAATCCCAGACATCACATAATTTCATTTGCAAATACTTCCGTATGGATCCCTAAGAGATAAGCACTCTGTTCTTTCAACAGAATCAAGACACGATGTTCGTGCCTAAAAAAAAATGAACGACGATTCCTTAAAATCATGACATCCACTCGGCGACCGTGTTGCCCCAGTGGACTCGTCTGAGCGCAATGGGAGGCAAACAAGGCCCGCGCACGGCACGCGACTGACGTGTCTCGTCTCAGTCTATTTATTTGTTAAGTAAACTGGGAGGGGACGCCAGCCCAACCCGTGGGGGAACAGGGCAACGAGCCAGGGAAGGGAAGAAAGCCAACGAATCGTGTGTGCCCCTGGGGACAAACGGAGCCCAGTTCCTCCAAGAGACAGGCTGGGGCCCCCTGAGCGACACGTGAACC